CATACAGAGCAGTGTACCTTACTCTAGGACCTAACATTCACACACACTTTCACACACCGTTGGCCATGCCATCGGGAGCAACTCAGGGTTAAGTATCTTGCCCAAGGATACATCGACATGTTGACTGCATGGGCTGGGATCGAACCCACAACCTTCTGGTTGAAAGATGACCACACTCCCTCACAGCCACAGTCGCCCTAGCCTAAGTAGCCTAACGGTACCCTGTTGTACTCGTAGGCTACCCCCCCTGGAAGGCAAAACGCAAATACTTTTCTGTGCCTTGGAGCAATTTCGACATGCAAGTAAGCGTCCTTCAGGTCGATGGTTGTGAACCAATCGCCCGGCTGCCCTAGTTCCAGTAATTGGTTTACATATGGAAATCTTTGCAGGCAATGTGCTGATTCAGGCTGCGGAGATCCAGAATGGGTCTGAACTCTCCCGTCTTCTTGGGAACCAGGAAGTACATGGAGTAAAGCCCCTTTGCTCTGTCCTGAACGCACCGTGGCACGCTCTCGGGGGGCCGTGCGCCCCGTCTTAATGCCTTCTTCACACAGACGGTGAAATGCATCAATCGGAGCTATTACACAAGGCGAGGTGTGTTTTCTGAACAACACGCCGGCCATAATGTCCCTGCACCTGCATAGCGCTTCCTGCAGTTTATCACATGTGCACGCCCACTGGCTGCCTCCTTTACTGGAGTTACAACTGGGGCGGCGAGTGGGGAATTGTGTTGCATAATGGGTGCCCAATTAACCTCGTATGAAACGGACATTATGGGGAAATGTGGAATTGCGGAGAGAGATGACTCTTACTCTGGGTTAAATGCAATCGCTTTTATTGAATGCATTTTTGACACACCTCTAGAACTAGGGTTACAATACGTAACCTGAATGGAGGAGGGACGCTGCAAAACTGGAGTGAGTAACCCATTCTCCGTGTCCTGTCCATCCACAGCTGAGCTTCCATTCCCCATAAAAAAGTGTTAGGGGACATGTAAGCAGCTGTGGAGCTGCAGCTAAGAAGCTGTAGTACTCTTTGGTGGCCTACTCCGCTGTCAAACCTTCCATAAAAGGAAGTTTGGCCCATGGGGGGCTGACACAGAAAAGGCTGATTTTCTACTGAGGTCCTTGAACGCCCCGTCATAATGCCGTCTCTTTGAAACGGACATTATGGGGTAATGTGGAATTGTGACACACACACACACACACACACACCTCTTTGAAGAGGGGGCAGCACTGTGCAGCTGTTACCTCACCATCGCTGTGACTGCCACTCACTGCTCTATTCAACACAAAGGGACAAAGCCAGATTCAACACAACAAAGCTACTCTCTCTCTCTCTCTCTCACACACACACAGTACCTGGTGCAGAGTGTCTCAGACTAACACACACACACACACACACCTCAGTTACTATTCATAGATGGAGAGAAGAAACTTGGGTTTGCAGCTGTGATAGGAATATCTTGGGAATAAAGATTTATAGAAGAGAGACAGGAAGAGGATTTCACTCTATTACCTGTCAGTGGGAATATAAGCCACTTAAAAGCTATGAGATGGGGGGGTTGCATTCCTTTCATATAAACTGTTTCCATGGCAACGGCTCAACATTTTCACTGGTGGGAGGCTTCCTGCTAACAGCGATGCATGTAGAGTGCTTGCTGCACCGCTCCTGATGTAACGTCCATTACTCTGACCCACATATTAAGGAGACCCCCACCCTAAAAACAAAACAAAGTGTGAGTTACATACAGTGCCATTCTTCAATCTAGATTGCTCTGGGGTTGCGATATGCTTAATGTTTTTTGTCTCATATTACGATTTAAATATAATAGGGACATATTGTCGAAAATTGAAGTAGATGGTATGTAAAGTGTAAAAAATCTAAATTGATCCATCTATCTAAAAACCTGTCTGGAAATCAGCTGATCAGATTTTGGCCACTTTGTGATGTCATAATCTTTTTTTGTCTTGTGTAACCATTAGCCAATCAGCAACCAAGGTAACCCCCCCCTGCCCCACACACCTTATCACCTGAATCTCCTCCTAGAGCACCATTGTGTTTTTTTAACCAATCATCTCTCAGAGGGGCGTGGCCAGCACATGCTCATTAGCATTTAAAGCTACATAGACAGAATCAGCACTTTTGGAACAGGTCTGAAACAGAGGGGATTATGGGATGCTGCAATAATCCGTTTGGTGTTTGGAGCCCAACACTTCAGAGACAAGTTCTGTATGTATCTGAGACCTGTAATATGTTGTTGGAAAAGAGTAGAATAGGGGACCTTTAAGGCAGCAATGTCACTTTTTCCAAGAAGATGTCAAATGGTTGAAATTAAGTTTATTGCCCAGTGTTACTCCAAGGTATTTAAAGCTGTCAACTGTTTGGTTATTGATAATAATGGGGTGCTGTGGTGGTGTGGGGGACCAATAATGATTTATTTCCTTTTACTGACATTGAGGTGGACATGGTTGTCCTCAAACCATTTGGTGAAGTGCGTGTTGTTGTTGTAGTAATCCAGGACCACAACATCATAAAGGATGTCTGATTCCTGCACACTTCAACCCCACGCAACACTTTTAAGATGTTAGCCAGACACTCATGATGGCTGGATCTTAACAGTAAGTCTATGAGCCACCATGAACTGACCATTGTAAAAAGAGCAGTCCAGCAAAAACACATCGCTTTGAAAACACTGCAGATAAAGATTTTCAGTTTTGTCACACAGAAGTGCCCACGCAGGTGAGTGGAGCTCAGTCTCTTCTCATTAAAGGCTTCAGGGCCACACACACGTCGGTTAATGTAACCATGACGGCTGGTACATTCTAAAGGAAGCTCAGCACCCACACACAGGTCACATGACCCAGGCCTGATCTGCTTAATGCTGCCAGACGGATGAAAGTCTGTGAGGTGGACTGAACCACTGCTGACGGCAGAGGGAAGAAGCTGCTCTAACTACAACCTGGGGCGCAGTGCTTTTACATCAAGTCACTTTTCATTACATTTCAAAGCTTGAACAGTTCATCAAGAAAATATAATTGATAGATATGGAGCAAATTTCCCACCACAAACAAAAATGCAATTTACAAACCAATGCATTCTGTTTTGCAATAAAACACATCAGAAAAACACATGACATGTTTCTAATGCATCATGTCAGTGGAACATAGGGCATTTGTAAAACAGGTTTAGTTTATTTGAGGAGTTTTGGCAGCTCCATAAGTTGACTCATTTGCAAAAGAAATGTGGCCCCTACACACTGCGGCGTGCGTTGCCGCGTCAACGCTTCTGCCCATTCACTTTGAATGGGGTGACTTCACGATTCGCCAAACTGCATTGTGGGAGCAAAGCGTAGTTCGCGGTGCTCGCTGCAAAAGTAGAGCAATGTTCTACTTTTGACGCCTCAACGGAGGCGTCAGCCAATCGAATCATATGCCAGTTCAAGCTCTAGCCAATCAAACCGCGTGCTTGTGTGTCTGGGGCGGGAGATTCATGCGATTGGTTGTTGGTCGAGGTTTCAGCCCCCCCCGCTGGCAAGCGACAACGCACGCCGCCGTGTGTAGGGGCCGTAAGTGTAAGTATGGAGAAGCACACAGTGAAATACTCAGCTATAGTTCATAAAAGTTGTAGATAGGAAGGAAACTTTACAGATGTCACTGAGGATACATTAGCCTCTTAGCATGGATCTGGCTAAACAGTCAGTGATCGAGTTGCATTGTGGGTAATGTAGAGGCTTCTTGTTTGGCGAGAGAAGAATGCTTGGAGAAAAGAACATGTTACCTTGGTTTGTATATTTTGCTGCTTAAAATTAAATATTTGTTGATACAAATCTTTCAATTTAAAAAGTGAATAATCCAGCTGGGCAGAGCTTTCTCATTAGCCATTTTCTGCATGTAAATAATCGCAAAAAGCCTCCCAAAGATTCACTTAACTTGCAACGTTTGATGAAATGAAGTCAAGCTCAACAGGGAGCAGTAAACTAACCAAAAAGATAGTTAAAAAAAAGTCTTTTGAGCATAGAAATATGTCCACCAATATATTTTAACAACCTTTATTCACTTCAAGTCTCATTCTATTTGATCACATTAATGGTAAACTCTAGAAAAGGACATCAAACTGTCAGACGGCCTCCTAGCGGAGCATGTAGCTGTGAAGTCTAGACAAGAAACTATTTAACGGTTCTTCCCTGGACAAGATTTATGTTGTGTCAGCGAGCAAATGTGTTTTTTGGCGAGACGCCTGAAAGCGGTGTACATCGGTTTAAAATAGCCTGGAGGACAGAAGCATCCTCAACTAATCTGCTGTCTGGGTGAGAAACAGACCTTACGCAATCAGAAGGGAACACAAACGTAAAGAAAAGAGAAATACAAATGCACGGAAATAAAGGAACCAAAACGGCCACATAATGATGCCAAATAATCAGGATAATGTGAGTCTAGGTGGTCAAAATCAGGACGTCTGAACAACAAATACGCCCATCATATCAACGAAAAGCGTCAAAACAAAAAAAAAGAAACACCAATTGAGACTAAAGGATAAAAACACCCGTAAAACATCCACACGCGCAGAAACAGCTATTTAGGTGCACTTAATACCATGAGGATGATGAAATCTGCAGTGCATCATGGTCATTTCAGACCATTAGCATGTGCACTTATGTTAGCATTAGCATGTGCACTTATGTTAGCATTAGCATGTGGTCTTAGTTTGTGTGTGCAATTAAAACATTTTTAACTTGCTGTGACTGCACATGTTTCACTGGTGTAAAGTTAACACCAGCCATCTTTTAAGTCTGCCATCTTAATCTTTTCACAGCAAAAATATAATAAAAAGATGTAGCTCAAAATGTACGTCTTAAAACATTCTGCCAGCACAGCCATATGTTCAAACTGAATAAAAAAGGTTTTATATCCCTCTCACACAGAGAGCATCTGTTTTAAAACCATATGGCAACAGATTTATTTTTGTAATTTTGCCTCTTTTCAGTACAACATACACACCAAAACTCTTTTTCTCCACACACAGTCTCTTACCTTGTTCCAGTCGGAGGGACAGGGATCTCCGGGCAGCCTCCACCTCAGATTTTGGAGATGCCAGCGCCTTCCGGCACCACTGCAGAGCTGAGAGGGAGTTATCCGTGCACTCTCTGGACTTTGAGGACACATACAGCCTGGAAAGAGAGACAGAGGAAATGCTAGTTAAACAGGACAATGTAGATTTCACTTTTACACTTTGGAGAATGCTGACGTCTGGATGCTAACACAACAGTTCATTTTGAGCAGGTTTAATGTTTACCATGCTAATAGCACCAAGTGAAGCTAATGGGAGGGTCATTAGTTCTGGAAGTACTTTCAAACGCAGGGTTAATAATAATAAAAATATTAAATATAATAAAAAGGGTTAATAATCTGATGATTATTTTTCAGCTAAAATGAATCACAAAGTAACAGGTGCCAAGGAAGTGGTTGTATCATAGAGTAGACATGTTTAGGAGTATTTGGATCATGTGACTTCTCCATGTTACAGTTTGTGATTTGATCTTGACTTTGTGCCACCAGCTCATCTCCTCCTGAGACAGAGACACCTTTCCTCCCGGGATAATGTGATGTTAAGCTTTTTAGATTGGAGAAAGTGCAGCTCAGATTATTCTGACAGCCCTGAACTCCCACTCTTCAATTCTGCTCTGAAGGCAACACGGGGGGAGCTGAATTATAGATTTAAATAGCTACACTGACATCAGGTGAGCCCACAGATACTTTTCCTTAAAACAAGGAGGGCCTGCAGAGTGAGGACATTGAAATAAAACATGAATGCTAATGAGCTCCAGTGCATGATCATTCAGATTATAAATACAAATCAGTGTCAAGTCTGAAAGAAACCCTCAACAAAAGCACACCCTATGATAACTTCAGACATGTGGGAATGTGTTGCAGGACAGCTCATAATGGCGTTTCAATTATGTGACTGTGATGTGCTATATGTGACATGTATTAAGTAACGTGTCATTTGCATTTTATTGTTCCCTTTTATCCGTTCGCCTCTGTCTACTTGTCTTCATTATGGCTCCCTGTGGGTTTTTTGCATGCGCTGGTCACTTCTCCCTCTTCAAGTTGCAACATGTCATGAAGTTCATCTCTTTTTCAGTGGAATAGGACAACAAGTGACAGGGTATAGCAGTATGCATGTCTTAGAGAAAATGTAAGAAATAACAGTGACACTAGCTCATGGTAACTGATGTTTTAGAGCATGGCACAAACCCATCTAGGGTTTAAGGAATTCCTGTGTGGCTCCAAAGAGAATGCACCGATGTAAAAGCATCCAGCCAATGGCACTGGTGAGAATGTGAGGAAGAATGGCAGCTTGGTGCAGCCATGATGACAGACAGGCCTGATAACAAGTGGCCTGTGTGTGTGTGTGTGTGTGTGTGTCTTTGTCTTGCAGGAGGCTGGATCCAGACACAATGAGAATCAGGTGCAATTAGCAGGAGAAGCCTCTAAATCACACATGCAGGACTTTGAACGCAACACATGGTTGGAGAAAAGCAACATTTACCAGGTTTCGTCGGACTCGTCTGAGCAGCACAGAGAATCAAAATCCAAAAGTTCTAGCTCGTCCAGAACCGACGGCTCGGAACCGTCCTCCGCCGCTCCATCCCCGGAGTGGAAATAGTCGAAAGGGTCCTCCAGGGAGGACCCCAAGGACGACTCACACAGCAGGGTGGGCACTGGGCTGGGGAGGCAGAACCCCCCGGTGCCAGCGAGCATTTCACCCCCCGGGGAAGGAGGCAGCACATGCGAGCGCGAGCAGCTACTCGCGCGGGTCCGGAGCAGCTCGTTTTGCCACTCCAGCGTTCGGACGAGCTGCTGCAGTTTCTTCACCTCCAGCTCGGCGTCCACGGTGTTGCTGTTGCAGTCCACTTCCGGAATTATAGCGGGGTTCAGAACCGCTGCCTCCATTGGACCAGAACACAATAATATAAACGGTTGAATGAGAGACGGGGGACAGGTAAGCTGCTGCGGCTCACCTCGCTCCTTAAGACTGGCTTCTGAATTCTGGTAGCGGGAGTAATGTGCACGGCACCCAATGGGAGAGTACTCCACCCCTCCATCACACACCCCAGCCTCCGCCCCCTCATCACTACACGCTGACTACAGGTACACACTGCACCTGTCGCACTATAAATCATGGTAATATCCCAAATAAAAACCGTTTAAGATTTTATTTTTACCATAATGTACCATTTAAAATAAAATGAACTCTTCTTCGTATTGTTTTTAGGAAATCGTTGTTTTAAGCAGGCGTAACCAACCATTGTTACCTATTTGTCAGCCTCAATTAATCTAATTCCCTAATCAGATAAAGGTGTATTATATTGAGCAGAAACACGCCTGATCAACATGTATGTGCATTTGGCGCCATCTTTTGGTTGAAACTGGTAATTACATGACATTGAACATCTCTTTATCTGTATAGCAGGGTTATTTTTTGTATAGCACCTTTCAACTCAAGGCAATTCAAAGTGCTTTACAAAAAATAAAAATATTAAGATCATTAAGAAATAGGCATTTAAAAACAAACATTGAAAAGCAAAGAGCATAACATAAAACAAGTTGATATCTATATAACATAGTCAGACATTACATGAATAAGAGTTACAGTGAGATAAGAATAGTTCAATTAAAAGCATCGTCAAAAAGAATTGAGAGTTGCAGCGGACTTGCAGGATTCTTGGAGTTTGTTCCAGAAGTTCTGACTTGGGACAGAAAGCAGACCAGAAGACCTGAGAGTTCTGGATGTAGCAGGAGATCAGAGTAAACCCTTCAATGTTTTATAAACCAGCAGCAGTATTTTGAAATCTATTCTTTGACACACAGGAAGCCAGTGTAAACACTTCAGAACAGGAGTGATGTGATCCTCTTTCTTAGTGTCACTGAGGACTCGAGCAGCGGTGTTCTGAATCAGCTGCAGCTTTCTAATAGATTTTTTAGTGAGACCTGTGAAGACACCATTGCAGTAGTCCAGTCTACTGAAGATAAAAGCATGGACAAGTTTG